GCTTTTAATGGAAAAAAGCCTTCCACTGGTTTTAGGGGCCAGCTTCGCCCGGTGCAAGTCCGAGTAAAAGCTTGATAGCTTAATTAAAGTAAAGCCCCGACCTTGTAAGCCGGAGACTGTAGCTTAAACCCTACTCAAAACTTCAGAACAAAAGGAGTTAAACCTCTACTACTGGCCCCCAAAGCCAACATTCTTATTAAATTATGTCCTGCTCTTATAGCTTAAACCCAAAGTATAGCGCTGAAAACGCTAAGATGAACCCTAAAAAGTTCTAAGGGCAGAAGGGTTTGGTCCTGGCCCTCCTATCAGTTTTCTCTTGAATTACACATGCAAGTCTCAGCACCCCCGTGAGGACACCCTTATTCCCTTAACCAGGCTAAGGAGCTGGTATCAGGCACAGCATCTGCCCACAACACCTAGTCTTACCACACCCCCAAGGGTATTCAGCAGTGATAAATATTGTTTATAAGCGATAGCTTGACTCAGTTAAAGAAAATAGAGCCGGCCAACTCGGTGCCAGCCGCCGCGGCTAAACCGCATGGGCTCAAATTGATAACAATCGGCGTAAGCGTGATTAAAGTTCCCAACAATTAGAATGAAATCCATACTTAGCTGTGAAAAGCTTGATGTGAGAGAAGGTCAAAAACGAAAGTTATTCTAATCATTTACTTGAATACACGACAGCTAGGAAACAAACTGGGATCAGATACCCCACTATGCCTAACCGTAAAATATTAACTCACACCTACCAACGCCCGGGTACTACGAGCCCCAGCTTAAAACCCAAAGGACTTGACGGTGTCCCACCCACCTAGAGGAGCCTGTTCTATAATCGATGATCCCCGCTAAACCCAACCCCCCCTTGCCAATCAGCCTGTATACCTCCGTCGTAAGCTTACCATATGAATGCCCTAAGTAAGTCTAACGGCTACAAACACCAATACGTCAGGTCAAGGTGCAGCTCATGGGGCGGTAAGCAATGGGCTACAATTTCTAATTTAGAACAAACGAAACACTGTATGAAACTCAGTTGTGAAGGCGGATTTAGTAGTAAAAAGAAAGTAGCGTGTTCTTTTTAACTAGGCCCTGGGACGTGTACACACCGCCCGTCGCCCTCTTCAATAGTTATATATAACAGATTTTATAATCCCCCACCACGCCTTAGAAGAGGTAAGTCGTAACATGGTAAGTGTACCGGAAGGTGTGCTTGGAATAACAAAATGTAGCTTAACTCAAAGCCCCTCGCTTACACCGAGAAAATGTCTGTGGAACCCAAACCATTTTGAGCCCAAAATCAAGCCTATGAGCCCACTATATGTATTAATTTACTCATTAAATTTTAAACAAAACATTTTTATATTCCAGTAGAGGCGATCAAAAAACTTATAAGCGCTTTATACAGAGTACCGCAAGGGAATGATGAAATAGATCTGAAATAGCCCTAAAGCACAATGTAGCAGAGATTACACCTCGTACCTTTTGCATCATGGTTTAGCCAGTCACTATCAAGCAAAGCGAGACATTAGTTTGACTTCCCGAAACTAGGCGAGCTACTTTAAAACAGCTTCATAGAGCTAACCCGTCTCTGTCGCAAAAGAGTGGGAAGATTTTTAAGTAGAGGTGAAAAGCCTACCGAGCTTAGAGATAGCTGGTTATTCAGGAAAAGAATTTTAGTTCTACCTTAAGTTTTTTTATGTCTCTCAACAATTTATTAGACTTAAGAGCTATTCAAATAAGGCACAGCTTATTTGAAAAAGGGGACAACCTACAACAAAGGGTAAAATATACTTCTCTCACTAAGTGGGCCTAAAAGCAGCCACCTTTAAAAAAGCGTTAAAGCCATATTTCTTAATTATTTTATAATGCCTTAATATATTTTAAACCCTTCATCTGTACTGAATGATCCCATATTATTATGGGAGCCACTATGCTAAAACTAGTAACAAGAAATTGAGTTTCTCCAAAATGCAAGCATAAACCAACACGGACTCACCATTGGTGCTTAACGTAGATGAGTCTGTTATAGTAACACACCCAGAAAAATCTATAATCTCCCACGTTAACCTTACACAAGAGCATTACCGGAAAGATTAAAAGAAAGAGAAGGAACTCGGCAAATCCTAACCCCGCCTGTTTACCAAAAACATCGCCTCTTGACAAATAATAGAGGTCCAGCCTGCCCAGTGACATCGTTAAACGGCCGCGGTATCCTGACCGTGCGAAGGTAGCATAATCACTTGTTCTTTAAATAGGGACTAGTATCAACGGCATCACGAGGGTTATACTGTCTCCTCTCTCCAATCAGTGAAACTGATCTCCCCGTGAAGAAGCGGGGATAATCCTATAAGACGAGAAGACCCCATGGAGCTTTAAACTCAACAACAACCTCCCCCCCACAAAATCCTACATAGCTGCGGAAGTCCTGTTTGTTAGTTTTCGGTTGGGGTGACCGCGGAGAAAAACTAAACCTCCACGACGAACGGAATTAACTCCTAATCTAAGAGCCACCGCTCTAAGAATCAATAAATTGACATAAAATGATCCGATAATCGATCAACGGACCAAGTTACCCTGGGGATAACAGCGCAATCCATTTCAAGAGCCCCTATCGACAAATGGGTTTACGACCTCGATGTTGGATCAGGGTATCCCAGTGGTGCAGCCGCTACTAAAGGTTTGTTTGTTCAACAATTAAAACCCTACGTGATCTGAGTTCAGACCGGAGTAATCCAGGTCGGTTTCTATCTATAAAGTGATACTCTTAGTACGAAAGGATTAGAGTAACGCGGCCAATATCCCAACAAGCCGCAACCCCAAATTAATGAACAAATCTTAATTAACAAGGGCCTACCAATATGTCTTAAACCAAGATAGTTAGTGAAGCAAAACCGGATATGCGAGAGATCTAAGTCCTCTTATAAAGGGGTTCAAGTCCCCTCACTAACTGTGATATTGCTTTCTATACATTTACTTCCAATTCTTTATATCGCCCCCATTTTACTCGCAGTCGCATTCCTAACCCTTATTGAGCGAAAGATCCTCGGCTATATACAACACCGTAAGGGGCCAAACGTTGTAGGCCCATTTGGTCTTCTTCAACCAATTGCTGACGGAATCAAATTGTTTATTAAGGAGCCCATCCGCCCTTCAACATCATCACAGTTCCTGTTCATTCTCGCCCCAACCACCGCCCTTATCCTAGCTATACTCCTCTGGACCCCACTCCCCCTGCCATTCCCATATTCTGACCTAAGTCTAGGCATCCTACTCATTCTGGCCCTATCAAGCCTTATTGTTTATACTATTCTAGGCTCCGGATGAGCATCCAATTCAAAATACGCCCTAATTGGAGCACTTCGTGCTGTTGCTCAGACAATTTCTTATGAAGTCCCCATAGACTTGATTATCCTATGCGCAATTATTATAACAGGCAGCTTTTCTCTAGCCACTTTTAATACTACACAACAACATATATGACTCTTCTTACCCCTTTGACCCCTCACCCTTATATGATTTGTTTCTACACTAGCCGAAACTAATCGAGCCCCCTTTGATTTAACAGAAGGCGAATCTGAACTCGTCTCGGGATTTAATGTTGAATATGCAGGGGGCCCGTTTGCTTTATTTTTCCTTGCCGAATATGCCAATATTTTGATGATAAATACCCTCTCCGCCGTTATTTTCTTAGGCTCATCCACTTATTCGACACTCCCAACAGCCCTATTAATAACTAAAGCCTCAGCTTTATCCCTGCTTTTCCTGTGAGTTCGTGCTTCTTACCCCCGATTTCGGTATGATCAACTAATACACCTAGTATGAAAAAACTTTTTGCCTATTACCCTGGCCATAGTAATCTTCCACATCTCCATACCGACAGCACTATTTATCTCCCCCCCTACAACATGAAAACGTGCCCGAAAGATAGGGTTCTCCTTGATAGGGAGACTCATAGAGGTTCAAACCCCCTCGTTTTCTTTAAAAAGATAGGAATTGAACCTACACCTAAGAGATCAAAGCCCTTCGCACTTCCATTATGCTACTCCTTAAGTAAGGTCAGCTAATTAAGCTTTTGGGCTCATGCCCCAACAATGTTGGTTTAAATCCCCCCCTTGCTATAGTATTAAAGGTAAAGTAGGCTAACCAAGCTCTTGGGCCCATACCCCAACAATGTAGGTTAAACCCCTTCCTTTACTTATTAACCCCACTGCACTCGTAATTATACTGTTTAGCCTCGCACTTGGAACTACAGTGACTCTTATGAGTCACCACTGACTTCTGGCCCGAATTGGCTTAGAAATTAACACACTCGCTATTATTCCCCTAATAACTAACACACCCCACCCACGAGCCATTGAAGCTGCCACAAAATATTTTCTCACTCAAGCCTCAGCTTCTGCCATAATTCTATTTTCCGCCACTATAAATGCCTGAAAAACAGGAGAATGATCCATTACCTTTTTATCTGACCCCTATTCAATTACCCTTTCTATAGCCCTAATAATAAAATTAGGCGTAGCCCCACTACACTTCTGATTACCAGAAGTTCTTCAAGGTATCCCCCTCTCGACGGGCTTAATTTTATCTACTTGACAAAAAATTGCCCCAATAACTCTCCTCCCTCAAATCTCCCACCTACTTAACCTAAACCTATTAATTATTATAGGGCTAATTTCTATCCTAATCGGAGGCTGAGGTGGCATCAACCAAACACAACTACGAAAAATTATAGCATTCTCTTCTATCGGTCACTTGGGCTGAATAATCCTAATTTTAAAATTTAACCCACAACTTATACTCTTCAATTTTATCCTCTATATTATAATAACAGCTGCAATATTCCTTTCACTCATATCAATTTCATCAACAAAAATTTCACATGTCTCCTCCTCATGACCTAAATCCCCCATTTTAGTGACAACTATAATACTAATCTTACTCTCACTTGCAGGGCTTCCCCCTCTTACAGGCTTTTCACCAAAATTACTAATTATTCTAGAACTTGCAAAACAAAATACCTTTCTCCTTGCCTCAGTCACCATACTAGCCTCACTTCTCGCTCTTTTCTTCTATCTCCGATTAACCTATATTATAATTCTTACTCTTCCACCTAATACTTCAAACTCGTTTATTTACTGACGCACAACTAAAACCTCTTTCATTACAGCCTCACTAAGCACACTAGCCCTCCTTATTTTTCCGCTATCACCCACACTTTTCCTCATAATATAGAAACTTAGGCTAATAAAGACCTAGAACCTTCAAAGTTCTCAGCGGGAGTTAAAATCTTCTAGTTTCTGTAGGACTTGCAGGCAATTACCCCACATCTTATGAATGCAACTCAAAAACTTTTAATTAAGCTAAAGTCCTACCTAGAAAGACGGGCCTCGATCCCGTAATATTTTAGTTAACAGCTAAACACTCAATCCAGCGAGCTTCATTCTATACTTCTCCCGGTTGGTAAAAAACGGGAGAAGCCCCGGCAGGTATTATTCGGCTTTTGGGGGTTTGCAACCACACGTGATGACACTCCGAGGCCTGGTAAAGGGAGGGCTCGAACCTCCGTCTTCAGGGCTACAACCCGCCACCTACTCGGCCACTTTACCTGTGATATCCACCCGCTGACTCTTCTCAACCAATCATAAAGACATTGGTACTATATACTTAGTCTTTGGTGCCTGAGCCGGAATGATCGGAACTGGCCTTAGCCTCTTAATTCGGGCTGAATTAAGCCAACCCGGGACACTCCTTGGTGATGACCAAATCTATAACGTAATTGTTACAGCACATGCTTTTGTAATAATCTTTTTTATAGTCATGCCTATTTTAATCGGAGGCTTTGGTAACTGATTAGTCCCGTTAATAATTGGGGCCCCAGACATGGCCTTTCCCCGTATAAACAATATAAGCTTCTGACTCCTGCCTCCCTCCTTTTTTCTTCTCCTAGCATCCTCAATAGTTGAAGCAGGTGCCGGAACCGGGTGAACTGTTTACCCGCCCCTAGCAGGTAATCTCGCCCACGCCGGTCCTTCCGTAGACCTGGCTATTTTTTCCTTACACCTCGCCGGTGTTTCATCTATTCTTGGGGCTATTAATTTCATCACCACCATCCTAAATATAAAGCCCCCTTCAACTACGCAATACCAAACCCCTTTATTCGTGTGATCCGTCCTTATTACGGCTGTCTTACTGCTCCTGTCCCTCCCCGTCCTGGCCGCAGGCATCACTATACTTCTTACGGATCGCAATTTAAACACCACCTTTTTTGATCCGGCTGGGGGAGGGGACCCCATTTTGTACCAACATTTATTCTGATTCTTTGGACATCCGGAAGTGTATATCCTAATTTTACCCGGCTTCGGGATCATCTCCCATGTAGTAGCCTACTACTCTAGTAAAAAGGAGCCCTTCGGTTATATGGGCATGGTGTGAGCCATGCTTTCAATCGGCCTCTTAGGCTTTATTGTTTGAGCACATCATATATTTACCACTGACCTAAATGTAGACACACGGGCATACTTCACTTCAGCTACAATAATTATCGCTATCCCAACGGGTGTAAAAGTATTTAGTTGATTGGCCACCATGCATGGGGGTATCATTAAGTGGGAAGCGCCCATACTGTGGGCCCTAGGCTTTATTTTCTTATTCACTGTGGGGGGACTAACAGGAATTGTTCTGGCCAATTCTTCCATTGACATTGTCCTTCATGATACATATTATGTAGTTGCCCACTTCCACTATGTTCTATCCATGGGGGCAGTTTTCGCAATTATGGCCGGATTTGTTCATTGATTCCCCTTATTTACAGGATTTACTTTACATAAGACATGGACTAAAATCCAATTTGGTGTTATATTTGCCGGAGTAAATATTACCTTCTTTCCACAGCACTTCTTAGGCCTGGCAGGAATGCCTCGTCGATACTCAGACTACCCCGACGCCTACACACTCTGAAACACCGTCTCTTCTATTGGCTCCCTCATTTCCCTTGTGGGCGTTATTATGATAATGTTTATTATTTGAGAGGCTTTTACAGCTAAACGTTACTTTACAGGCCCAGAATTAACCTCAACAAATATTGAATGACTCCTCGGATTCCCACCCCAGCATCATACATTTGAGGAGTCCTCATTTACAGTAAAAATCGACCGAGAAAGGAGGGAATCGAACCCCCGTAGCCTGATTTCAAGTCAGACACATAACCCCTCTGTCACTTTCTTGAGGGTTTAGTTAAAATATAACATTACTTTGTCAAGGTAAAATTACTAGTTAAATTCTTGTAACCCTCTAATGGCTTACCCAACCCAACTCGGACTACAAGACGCTATCTCCCCCATTATAGAAGAGTTACTACACTTCCACGATCACGCCCTAATGGCAGTACTTTTAATTAGTATACTTGTACTATATATTATTATTACATTAATAGCCACCAACCTCTCAAGCACTAATACAATTGATGCGCAAGAAATCGAAATAATCTGAACTATTATACCTGCTATTATTCTTATTGTAATTGCCCTACCGTCCCTACGCATTCTCTATTTAATAGATGAGGTTAGCAGCCCGGATATAACTATTAAAACAGTTGGCCACCAATGATATTGAAGTTATGAGTATTCAGATTTTGCTAACTTAAATTTTGACTCCTATATGGTCCCCTCAAACGACCTAACCCCCGGTCAATTTCGTCTTTTAGAAGTAGACAATCGAATAGTTACCCCTATTGGGACAGTTACCCGAACTATTATCACAGCCGAAGATGTCCTTCACTCATGGGCCGTCCCGGCCTTGGGAGTAAAAATAGACGCCATCCCAGGGCGTCTAAATCAAACTTCCTTCCTCATTGCCCACCCCGGAGTTTATTATGGTCAATGCTCCGAGATCTGCGGGGCGAATCACAGCTTTATGCCAATTGTTGTGGAAGCCCTACCAGTGCCTAATTTTTTACATTGATTAAACTCCCATAACGAATCACTAAGAAGCTATAAGTTCAGCGACAGCCTTTTAAGCTGTAGATAGGTGACTACGCCCACCCTTAATGAAAAATGCCCCAATTATTACCCGCCCCATGATTTTTAGTGTTTATATTAACATGAATTATTATCATCACACTAGCACCCAAAAAAATCTTATCCCACCTATTTCTTAATGAGCCCGCTTCAAAATTAACAAAAACCCTTAAGCACACTTGAACTTGATTATGATAACTAACCTTTTTGACCAATTTGCCTCACCCAGCCTACTTGGAATCCCACTAATCCTCATTGCCATACTTATACCATGACTTTTGGTCCCTACCCCCTCTGAACAGTGACTTTCTAACCGTCTCACTTCTCTCCAAACTTGATTCCTAAAGACCTTTACAAAACAAATCCTTCTCCCACTTAACCTCCCGGGCCACAAATGAGCTCTTATCTTCGCCTCATTGATAATTTTCCTCCTCGGTATAAATTTACTCGGGCTTTTACCTTATACATTTACCCCGACAACACAATTATCAATAAACCTGGGCCTTGCTATTCCATTTTGACTTGCAACCGTGATCATTGGGCTACGAAATCAACTAACAGCCTCCTTGGCCCACTTCCTTCCGGAGGGTACCCCGACCCCTTTAATCCCGATTTTAATTGTTATCGAAACAATCAGTCTCTTTATTCGCCCCCTGGCCCTAGGAGTCCGATTAACAGCCAACCTAACCGCAGGCCACTTGCTCATCCAGCTTATCTCAATGGCTACCTCAACCATATTGTCCCTCTCCGTCACTGTAGCCTCGCTAACTTTTATTACACTAGTTCTTCTTACCCTTCTAGAAGTTGCTGTAGCAATAATCCAAGCCTACGTCTTCGTCCTTCTACTTAGTCTGTATCTCCAAGAAAATTCTTATGGCTCACCAAGCTCACGCCTTCCACATAGTTGACCCTAACCCCTGACCCCTTATAGGTGCCGCGGCAGCCTTCCTCCTGACCTCAGGATTAGCCGCATGATTTCACTTTAATACTCCCCTAGTTCTTATATTTGCCCTAGTTTCCACACTACTAACTATATATCAGTGATGACGAGATGTCGTTCGAGAGGGCACCTTTCAAGGACATCATACACTGCCGGTCCAAAAAGGCTTGCGATACGGAATAATTCTTTTTATCACATCAGAAGTCTTCTTCTTTGTCGGCTTTTTTTGGGCATTTTATAATGCTAGCCTCGCCCCAACACCAGAAGTTGGTGAATGCTGACCCCCTACAGGCATTACCCCATTAAATCCATTTGAAGTACCACTCCTAAATACTGCAGTTCTACTAGCCTCTGGGGTCTCCGTTACATGGGCCCACCACAGTATTATACAAGCCAACCGAGAAGGCGCCACCCAAGCCCTAGCCCTAACTATCATTCTTGGCCTCTACTTCACCGCCCTCCAAGCTATGGAATATTACGAAGCCCCATTCACAATTGCCGACGGCATTTATGGCACTACCTTTTTTGTAGCAACAGGATTCCACGGCCTCCACGTGATTATTGGCTCCCTTTTTCTTCTTATGTGCTTCCTTCGACAAGTATTTTTTCACTTTACCTCTCAACATCACTTTGGATTTGAAGCCGCCGCATGATACTGACACTTCGTTGACGTAGTATGATTATTCCTTTATGTTTCAATCTACTGATGAGGTTCTTACTTTCTTAGTACAAATAGTACAAATGACTTCCAATCATTTAATCTCGGTTTAAATCCAAGAGAAAGTAGTGCTAATACTTGTATCCCTCACTATCTTTGTATCCCTCACCATCCTTATTGTGCTTGTTCTGGCGCTTGTTAGCTTTTGGCTACCCCTAATTAAACCTGATACAGAAAAACTTTCCCCCTACGAGTGCGGATTTGATCCCCTCGGCTCCGCCCGTCTTCCTTATTCCATGCGATTTTTTCTTGTCGCTATCCTTTTTCTCTTGTTTGACTTAGAGATTGCTCTTCTTCTACCTTCCCCATGAGCCATGCAACTCCCCGACCCAACTATGACCACCCTCTGAGCTTCAATTATCCTCTTCCTTCTCACTGTCGGCTTTATCTACGAGTGACTTCAAGGAGGACTTGAGTGAGCTGAATGAGCTGCTAGTCCAACAAAGACAACTGATTTCGACTCAGTTAATTATGGTTTAACCCCATAGCACCTCTAATGATTTTTCTGTTAATTACAATATTTGCAATTGTTTTTATGGGCCTCTCTTTTCATCGCACACACTTATTATCCGCCCTCCTCTGCCTCGAAGGAATAATGCTTACCATCTATATTGCCCTAAGCCTATGACCCAGCCAACTAACTCTTTCCCCCCTCACGTTACCCTTAATTGTATTAACTATATCTGCCTGTGAAGCAGGACTCGGCCTTTCATTAATAATTGCCACCGCTCGATCCCACGGCAACGATAACTTAAAAACGCTTAATTTATTGCAATGCTAATAATTATCTTCGCCTGACTCTCGCTATTCCCTACTATTATGTTAACCCCCCCTAAACACCTTTGAACGACAACCACCGCCCAAGGGTTCTCCATTGCATTTATGTCCATATGTTGGTTTTTTCTCCAAGACTTTAATTTCTCCGACTCCCTTTTCTTTATTGATAAAATTTCCAGTCCCCTAGCTATTTTAACCTGCTGACTCTTCCCCCTCACACTTCTGGCTAGCCAAAGCAAGATTGCCCTAGAACCCTCTAACCGCCAGCGAGCTTATCTTGCTAACAGCACATTTCTTCAACTAACCACCCTCATAGCCTTTACTGCATCAGACCTAATATTATTCTTTATCTTTTTTGAAGCCTCTTTAGTACCCACAATAATTATTATCGCCCGCTGGGGGGCCCAAGAACGCCGCCTGGAGGCCGGTATATATATTGCTTTCTATACAATACTCGGGGCAATTCCCCTAATTTTATGAATAACAAACATCTATTCGACCCACGGCTCCCTTCTTCCCTCCCTCATGTCTACTTTTTCAATCACCCAACAGCCGACCAGTTACCCCGGCCCATTTTGGCTCATATATAATGTAGCCTTCCTAGTTAAACTACCCCTTTACTGTCTCCACCTATGACTTCCCAAAGCCCATGTAGAAGCACCAATTGCGGGGTCTATGGTACTGGCAGGCACTTTACTAAAATTAGGGGGGTACGGAATCCTCCGCACATCCGTCTTCTTACAGGAGGGCACCTTAAACAACACGCTATTATTTATGCTAATCGCAATCTTAGGGATTCTCGCCACCGCTCTCTTATGCCTCCGTCAAACAGATTTAAAATCCCTCATTGCTATGTCATCTGTTAGCCACATAAATCTAGTGGTTGTTGCCGCCTTAATTTCCACCCCCTGAAGTTTTTCTGGTGCCATAGTTATAATAATTGCCCACGGCCTCACATCCTCAGCACTCTTTTGTCTAGCAAACACGACATATGAGCGGACAAACAGCCGAACAATGATCCTTCTTCGGGGCTCTATACTTAATTCTCCACTAGCTAATGCCTGCTGACTTGCTAGCATCCTATTTGACATGGCAATCTGCCCCACACCTAATACTATTAGTGAACTCCTAATTATAGCCTCCCTCTTTAACTGATCCCCTGCAGCTTTCCTGATTGTGGCCCTAAACTTAATTTTTACTACCGCCTATACTCTCTACGTCCTTTGATCCACACAACGTGGGCCCACACCAAATCACCTAAAAATTTTATTCCCCTTTCATATCCGAGAGCATATTCTACTTTCTCTTCATGTAGTACCCGGCCTTCTACTTATTTTTAAACCCGAACTGATTCTCCTCTGTAAACATAGTTAAGCAAAACCCTAGATTGTGATTCTAGAAATGAGAGATAATACCTCTCTGTTCACCGAGCCTGTCTGGCGCACATAGGTACTGCTAATTCCTTATTACTGTGGTTCAATTCCACGGCTTGCTCGGGCTAACCCACTATAGTAAATTAGTAAGTTTATTAACAAATTTATATGCCTGAAGTAACACCTATGAAAACCGATTCAGGACGCCTCACTCCAATTTTTTCGACTTATGGCTCACAACATCCTCGGTGTTCTATTTACTGTCGTAGCGACCGTCACAATTTTAAATACCATCTTCCGCTCCCCACCCCAAACCCTGCATAGTAACGCTAAAACAGCCGTAAAAACCGCATTTTTTTACTCTTTAGTCCCACTAGTGGCTTTTATATACCAGGGCTCCAACGAAGGGATAAATACCGTATCTGATTGGGAGTGAGTTAATCTAGGCCTTACAACACTAAACATTACCTTCAAATTTGATATGTACCAAATCATCTTTTTACCCATTGCCCTACTAGTTACTTGGTCTATCCTAGAATTCTCTACCTGGTATATAGAACAAGACCCTAAAATGGGGGCATTTTCTAAGCATCTCCTAATTTTTCTACTGGCAATAATTATGCTTATTTCAGCAGGAAACATGGTAGTTCTCTTTTTAGGGTGAGAGGGGGTAGGCTTCATGTCATTTCTGCTCATCGGCTGGTATCATGCCCGAAGCGATGCAGCCACAGCAGCACTACAAGCCGTTATATACAACCGCATTGGAGACATCGGATTCCTTCTAGCATTCTGCTGACTGCTTAAAAATTCAGTATCTACAAACCTTGATTATATTTTTTCTACATCTTCTTCAACCTTCCTCCTTATCGCTTTTATCACGGCGGCCGCAAGTAAATCAGCCCAATTTATGCTCCACCCATGACTTGTGTCAGCTATAGAAGGGCCCACCCCCGTATCGGCGCTACTCCACTCCAGCACTATGATTGTGGCCGGTGTCTTTCTATTAGTCCGCATTCACCCCCTCCTTGCCCAAAATCAGCTAGCTCTTACAATCTGCTTATGTTTAGGGGCTATTTCCTCTGCCTTCGCCGCCATATCTGCCCTAACTCAAAATGATATTAAAAAAATTATCGCCTTCTCTACCTCTAGTCAACTAGGCCTCATAATAGTGTCAATTGGGGTTAATTTACCTAATTTAGCGTTCTTCCACATCTGCACTCACGCCTTTTTCAAAGCCATACTCTTCCTGTGCTCGGGGATTATTATTCACAACCTAAATAATAATCAAGATATTCGCTTCATAGGGGGCCTCCATAAAGCCCTGCCGATTACAACCATCTGTGTTGTCGTGGGTAGTCTGGCCCTGGTGGGAACACCCTTTTTAATTGGCTTTTACTCTAAAGACGCCATTATTGAAGCTACAATTACCTCATCCGCTAATACAACAGCTATTTTACTTACCCTAATCGCTACCGCATTCACTGCCGTTTATAGTCTTCGACTAATTTATTATACTGCTATAAGCCAACCACGAAGTAGCCAGGTAACCTCCTTTGATGAGAGTCTCCCCGCAGTAAAAGGCCCGATCACACGCCTCGCTATTGGAAGCATTATCTCCGGCCCCCTTCTCTTTTACCTTCTCTTCCCTGCACTACCAACTACCCACACTATACCAACATTCATCAAGCTGACAGCCCTGATTATTACACTACTGTCGTTCCTAATTGCCTATGACCTAGCACAACTCTCCTGATTTACCCCGCCAAAAGATCATGCCCTATCTAAAACCTTTGAACCCTCGGCCTATAGCCGAGTTTTTCACCGTGTGGTTGTAACTACTACACTAGACTCGGCCTGACAAATCGTGTCACACGTAATTGAAAATACCTGGATGAAATTTCTGGGGGCTGATGTGTTTCCCTCGGCTCAACTGCACCCCACTAAACTCATTAACATGACACACAAAGCAATGATCCAACTTTATATAGCGCTATTTTTTATTTCCCTCGTACTAGTGTTACTTACTTTATTACTTGTTTCTTACTGATCGTAACGAAACACTCTTGTGACCTCGGACAACTTCCAACACTACAAAAAGAGTGACAAGCAACCCCCAACCACACAGCGTCAACATTTTACCTCCAGCCTGATACATCTGAGTTGCCCCTGATATTTCAGAACTCTTTATGGCCCACCAAGTACGAACCCACTCATTTCCAATTTCTATTTCATTTCCCCCAAATACTGCCCAACCTATCCACACCAGCCCAACGTATATCACTAAATAGACTGCTACAACCCGACTGCCCCATGCCTCCGGGTAAGGCTCAGCCACCAACGCCGCACAATAAGCAAACACAACTATTATGCCCCCCAAATAAACAAGAAATAACACCAACGCCAAGAAAGTTACCCCTCACTGGGCTAACACAAAACACCCAGCCCCAGCCCCCACAACCAGCCCCAACGCCCCATAATACGGAGAGGGGTTTGAGGCAACACCTAATAACCCAATTAATAGACATAATTCTTTCATTATTCCTACTAGGATTTTAACCTAGACTGGTAGTCCGAAAAACTACTGTTGTAATTCCACTATAAGAACCTCTATTATGGCCCCAGCCCGAAAATCCCACCCAGTTTTAAAAATCATTAATTACTCACTTATTGACCTTCCCACACCAGCCAACCTGTCTTCTTGATGAAACTTCGGCTCACTCCTCGGGCTCTGCCTGATTATTCAAATTGCCACCGGACTATTCCTCGCGACACACTATACAACAGACACATCAATGACTGTCACAACCAGCGCGCACATCTGCCGAGACGTAAATAACGGATGACTCCTCCGGAGTCTCCATGCCAACGGGGCCTCTTTTTTCTTCATCTGTATTTACCTTCACATCGGACGAGGTTTATACTACGGCTCTTATCTTTTCATGGAAACCTGAAACATCGGTGTGATCCTGTTATTCCTGGTGATAGCGACGGCCTTCGTAGGCTATGTACTCCCATGGGGCCAAATATCATTCTGAGGCGCCACAGTCATCACCAACCCCCTCTCAGCTGCCCCCTATATTGGCACCGACCTAGTTCAGTGAATTTGGGGTGGCTTTTCGGTAGACAATGCTACCCTAACTCGATTCTTCTCCTTTCATTTCATTCTCCCCTTTATTATTGCAGGCGCAAACATAATGCATCTTCTATTCCTTCACCAAACAGGGTCATCTAACCCAACTGGCCTCAACCAAAACTTAGACAAAGTACCCTTTCACGCCTACTTCTCCCACAAAGACACCCTAGGGCTCTCCATTATAATCGGGGCCCTAGCAAGTTTATCAACTTTCCCTCCCAACCTTCTGGGAGACCCAGATAATTTTATCCCGGCAAACCCCCTCGTTACCCCCCCGCACATTAAGCCAGAGTGATACTTTCTATTCGCGCACGCCATCCTTCGCTCCATCCCCAATAAATTAGGGGGAGTTTTTGCCCTTCTTTTCTCTATCCTCGTGTTGTTCCTCATACCAATCCTTCAAACATCCAAACAGCGAAGCCTCATATCCCGACCCCTAACCAAATTATTCTTCTGAGCCTTTATCGCAAATACTTTAATCCTCACTTGAATGGGGGGACAACCGGTTGAAGACCCATTTGTCACCATCGGCCAAATTGCCTCCGCCGCCTACTTTGTCATCTTCCTCCTGCTTCTCCCCCTCTCAGGGACCCTAGAGAACAAACTTCTAGATCTAAAAAACTAGCGGCAGTTACGTGCACACAAAAGTAATATTATAGGGCCTATCATATAATGATTTTAGTACATGCTATGTATAATCAACATTAACCGTTATTCCTCATGCATATCTTTTCCAAACTACTATCTTAATTTTACTATAGTATTAATTATCTAATATAGAACTTATACATATATAATGATTTTAGTACATGCTATGTATAATCAACATTAACCGTTATTCCTCATGCATATCTTTTCCAAACTACTATCTTAATTTTACTATAGTATTAATTATCTAATATAGAACTTATACATATATAATGATTTTAGTACATGCTATGTATAATCAACATTAACCGTTATTCCTCATGCATATCTTTTCCAAACTACTATCTTAATTTTACTATAGTATTAATTATCTAATATAGAACTTATACATATATAATGATTTTAGTACATGCTATGTATAATCAACATTAACCGTTATTCCTCATGCATATCTTTTCCAAACTACTATCTTAATTTTACTATAGTATTAATTATCTAATATAGAACTTATACATATATAATGATTTTAGTACATGCTATGTATAATCAACATTAATCGTTATTCCTCATGCATATCTTTTCCAAACCTTATGATATATCTGACATATGCGTTACCTCACTAATTAATAAGATTCCCCTACTTATGATTGGCTGCCGCCCATATCATGATTACTTGATAGGACCTTCCCTTGTCTTAGTATTATCATATCACCACCTCTACCTATTAAACTGTAAAACCCCCTAAAATTTACAATCAAATACCCCGAAGCTTCAGATCCTCCATAATTATAAATTCATCAACCTAAACCTCCTCATATCATGTTTTTACCCATACCTGAATGCATCATTCATATTAACAAGGTAAGACCTCAACTTGCTTAAAATCAAGCATATCTCTTCAACTATATCGCATAAATAACTTATAATGGCCAATCTCATACAGGCTAATTTAGTTTTACACCCAAACCTGAAATACCATATGAATATGATCATCCTCTACCCCCCGGTACTACCACGAACCCTATTCTTTTACCCAACCTTACAAGACTGGCCACGATTGGTTCAGTCCTTTTCGTAGATAGCTTCCAAGGAACAAGAGCTGTAGAGTTACAGCCGTAGCTGTCAGGGAACATCTGACGGAAGTGAATCTGTGGGACCCATATCGAAGAGACGCCCAAAATGATTTTTAAAATGTATCCCTCCTATGCGTGCAAGGACCTCTCTCTAAGGTGAGGCCACTAGTGAACAGTTGAGCTATTGGTATTTCTTTTTTTGGGGAGTTTCACGGTCATATCAAGTAGAGCTCTCGCGCATTTTAAAAGGGTGGGACTTGGGTGTCAACCCCCACTCAAGTAAATTAGATAAAGTTCTACTTGGGTGGCGCATAAATTCATCCTCATTTGAGAGTGAGATCAAGAAATGTTATATAAGGGTGGGCATAAGCATAACCCCCATTTCGTAATTATAGTCCCATATAAATGAATGCTAGATGGACATAATACTATCCTGATATTTCCCCCCCTTTTAGGGATTTTCTTAAAAATATAATTTTTAAAAAATTTTTTTTCGCCTACCCCCCCCTTACCCCCCCCAACTTAGTTTTTCCCATGGTTTTCTCCTAATACCCCCCCCGGGATTAGGCACCATGGAAGACACATCAGTTAGGTCTTACCCCCCCGCTCATATATTGCTCGTATATTGCTCGTATATTGCTCGTATATTGCTCGTATATTGCTCGTATATTGCTCGTATATTGCTCGATATTGCTCGTATTTTCATACTTCGCTTATACTTCGCTTATACTTCGCTTATACTTCGCTTATACTTCGCTTATACTTCGCTTATACTTCGCTTATACTTCGCTTATACTTCGCTAATTATATAACTATATAATTGTATAATTGTATAATTGTATAATTGTATAATTGTATAATTGTATAATTGTATAATTGTATAATTGTATAATTGTATAATTGTATAATTGTATAATTGTATAATTGTATAGCTGATCGGCTGATCGGCTGATCGGCTGATCGGCTGATCGGCTGATCGGCTGATCGGCTGATCGGCTGATCGGCTGATCGGCTGATCGGCTGATCGGCTGATTTTTTAAAAACCAATTAAATAGGTTATTCGTATCTTTTTCTGCTGCTTTTCTCAAAGATAGCTTTTAAGCAAGCCTTCTAATTTTATTCAATTTATTTTCGGTTTTTTCTTTCTATTTATTATGTTTTCT